TTACAAATCAAGTTCCTCCAGTATATCGTTGTTTTCCTCAGTCGAGACGTACTTAATCAGTTTCAGCTTCGAGGATGTAACGTGTAATGCACTGGACATACAGTAATGTGCTTTAATTTGCCTTTGATAATTTACATATAGAATTCTGCTCCGACTGATTCTGCCTTTTGTCCGCCGTATTTACATATGCGTACTATTTTGTATCCAAATTGCGGGCAAAATGTCGGGCCGTATATGCAGGAACATGAATAACACACGATTATATTTTCGATTTCCGATCCGTATAATGATTAATAATGTGCCTTTAAGAATACAATATTATATTATTGAAATTTACTAAACGTGGCGTGAGAGCGTGAGAGTGAAGCGAATTGCGTGAGACTCACGCCGAATGCGTGAGAGTTGAGAGGTCTGGCATGCAAGTGCTGGGGGGGGGGGGGCTGGTGATGATCATGTGCAGGGGCGGATACAGGGTTGATACAGGGTTTTTGATGATCAGTTACTACATTCACCCAACTAGTAGGGGGGTCCGGTCCCCTGGAAAAATTTTAAAATTTGGGGCTCTGAAACAGCACTTTTTAAAAATTAATTTAATGATTAGAAAATGCATGTTTTTAAGTGAATTTTTGACAAATTAGTTATATACATGATGATTGAAGGTTATAGATTTTCTTTCTTTGGAAAATCTGACAGGTTTATGTAAACCTGTCGAATGCGCCCCTGATGTGAATGTGCGAACGTGTGGTGCCGATGAGCACGTGAACTTATTTTTTGTAAGTGTGTTTTACTTTTACGTTAATTTGCTGCAAAAAAGCGTATATAGAAACATGTTATTAATAATATTTCTATCTTACTTAACAGTAGTTTAATTTAGTGCATTTAAATTTTGGCAGGGACATGCCATGGGGTGCACATTTTTGTTGGAGGGGTGCACAATTTCTCCTGGGGGGGGGGGGAATTGGGAAGGTGCGCACCCCCAGAAAATCCGTCCTTGCCGGCAACGCCAGCAGCACCGCTGCCAGGAAATTTTTAACAAAATATATTTGCAGGAATTTTCTTGCATCTTGCAAGAAATGTTGTCATCTTATACACTGGAATGCCAAATGATTTAATTATTGTAAAAACTCGTAAAGAATATCACAAGTTTATCACAATGTGCAACACCATACATTCTCTGAAATCTACATATGCAGGAAGTTTTTTATTAATGACTCACACAGGAAATTTTATTTTTGGATTTTGATGCCAGGAAGAGAAATATATTTTCTAGGCCTATGTAGGTGATAGCACATTTCAAATTCAGGGGTTGAAATGAGAGGGTGCCTTAGTTGTGACTAGATATTCGGCGAAGGTATAGTCCTTCAGGGTGACTGAAAAAAACCTTAAAATAATAATTATAAATGAAAGGAAGCCTGAAAAATAATATCCTAGTGCTGTATATTAAGGGACGGACCATTAGAAAAGTGATGGGGGGGGGGG